AAGCTGGTAAAGGGCTTAGAACACAAGTTGTATGAGGAAAGGCTGGGGGATCTGGGGCTGTTTAGCCTGGAGGAGAGGAGACTGAGGGGAGACCTCATTGCTCTCTACAACTACCTGAAGGGAGGTTGTAGAGAGGCAGGGGTTGGTCTGTTCTCCCTAGTGGAGAGTGACAGGACAAGGGGAAATGGATTTAAATTGCGCCAGGGGAGGTTCAGGTTAGATATCCGGAAGAATTTCTTTACTGAAAGGGTTGTCAGCCATTTGAACAGGATGCCCAGGGAGATGATTGAGTCACCGTCCTTGGAGGTGTTTAAGAGACCATTAGATGTTACATTGGTTGATAGGGCTGGGACAAAGGCTAGACTCGATGATCTTCAAAGTCTCTTCCAGCTGAAACTATTCTATGATTCTATTCTATGTCTCTCTTACTACACTCTCAATGGACAGAAAGTGTTATGGTACCACCTACTGGAAACACTGAAAATTCTTTCTTCAATGTTTACTTCATCTTTTTGCAGAAGAATTGCATGTGTATGGAAGTTCCTCAGACTCAGACAATATATTATGTCCATATGCATTAATTTCATAATGCATTGACAGTTTGTTTTATGCAGATGGAGGGGGAGGAGGCTTTGTCAATCCTAATCAACTACTTCCCATTTTATATATGCTACAGCTAAGTGAAGGAGAAGTAATCAAGCCACAACAAAGCCATGAAAAGACAGTCTTTCCCGTAATCCATCGGCAATATATTTACTTCTTTTCAAGTAAAGAAAATAGAGAAACATTTATGAAAAATCCCATCAAATATATTCGTCAGCCAAAACCTAAACCAACTGTGCCAGTTAAGATTGCAATCGTGGGACCTCCAAAATCTGGAAAGACTACAGGTAGGACCCAGTATTATCTATAAAGCAAAACCTTATCTAATCTCTCATTACTGCTATTAAAAAAACATAAGCCATTAAAATTGTTGGTCTTCCTATTTACCTTTCTGGGCATAGAATATTTTAGTTACATTCTCTAGTGTCTCATTTGACAGGAGGAATTATGCATTGTCCATCTGAATTTCATCCTAGCTTCTTAACAAGTTAGTAAGCTGGGCTGGCACCTAGAATTATACCCCTTGTATTATTTCTGATTGTTTTCTAATTGTTTCTTGGTTTTTTTCAGTCAATATGATCTACTGTAAAATAAAGAAATATTCTTTATATTCCGTAGTCTGTTTTCCAAACTTCCAGATTAAAACCCCAAGATTTCCATCTTTCTCCCCTCTCCTTCTTCCTCCATGACTTTTTCAATCCACAGGTCTCCGTTGTTAACTGAAGGAGGAGAAAATTCAGCTTACAGAATCATAGAACCATAGAATTGTCAGGGTTGGAAGGGACCTTAAAGATCATCTAGTTCCAACCCCCCTGCCATGGGCAGGGACATCCCCCACTAGATCAGGCTGCTCAGAGCCCCATCCAGCCTGGCCTTAAAAACTTCCAGGGATGGGGCTTCCACCCCCCCCCTGGGCAGCCTGTGCCAGTGTCTCACCATCCTCATGGAGAGGAACTTCTTCCTAACGTCCAATCTCAACCGATCCATCTCTAGCTTTAATCCATTCCCTCTAGTCCTACGACTACCCAACATCCTAAAAAGCCCCTCACCAGCTTTCTTGTAGCCCCCTTAAGATACTGGAAGGCCACAATAAGGTCTCCTCAAAGCCTTCTTTTCTCCAGACTGAAGACCCCCAATCCAGCCCTCTGCATCCTCGTGGCCCTTCTCTGGACACGCTCCACCATGTCCAGATCTTTCTTGTGCTGTGGGCTCCAGAACTGGACGCAGTACTCCAGGTGGGGTCTCTCTCATGAGAGTGGAGTAGAGGGGAAGAATCACCTCCTTCGCCCTGCTGGCCATGCACTTCTTGATGCAGCCCAGGACACGATTGGCTTTCTGGGCTGCAAGTGCGCACTGATGGCTCATGCTGACCTTTTGCCCACCAGCACCCGCAAGACTTTTTTCTTCAGGGCTACTCTCAAGGCAATCACTGCCCGGCCTATATCAGTGCTTGGGATTGCCCCGACCCAGATGGAGGACCTTGCACTTGGTCTTGTTGAAATTCATGAGTTTGGCATGGGCCCACCTGTCCAGCCTGTTGAGGTCCCTCTGAATGGCATCCCTACCCTCCAGGATGTCAGCCGCCCCACACAGTTTGGTGTCATTGGCAAACTTGCTGAGGGTGCACTCAATGCCACTGTCCCTGTCGCTGACGAAGATGTTGAACAAGACTGGTCCCAGTACGGATCCTTGAGGGACTCCACTTGTCACTGGCTTCCACTTGGACATGGACCCATTGACAGCCACTCTTTGGGTGCAGCCGTCAAGCCAGTTCTTTATCCACTGAAATGTCCATCCATCAAATCCATATTTTATCATCTTGGAGACCAGGATGTCATGTGAGACAGTGTCAAAGGCTTTGCTCAGATCCAAGTAAATGACGTTAGTTGCTTTTCCCTTGTCCATTGATGTTGTGACCTTCTCATAGAAGGCCATGAGGTTTGTCAGGCACGATTTTCCCTTGGTGAAGCCATGTTGACTGTACCAAATCACCTCTTTGTTATTCCTCTGCCTCAGCAGTGCCTCCAGGAGGATCTGCTCCCTAATCTTACCAGGCACAGAGGTGAGACTGACTGGCCTATAGTTCCCTGGTTCATCCTTCTTTCAGCTAGTTCTCCCTTCATCAGCCAGTTCTCTCAGTACCCATTAGTGTATCCCACTGGGTCCCACGGACTTATACCATAGCTTAATGATTAGAATAGGCTGTTAGAAAAAGAAGGTTCAAATTATCTCATATTAAGGATGAAATTTTAACCATATTTCCCATTTCTGGATAAAGATCTAACTGCTAGGTTGTTCTCTAAAAAGGGCAGAAGTGGAAGCGTATTTTCTAAGATATTTTATAATAACATTGACTATTGCTGCTAAGGTTTGTGTTGAACTGCATGGTGTTAGTGCATCAGGGATGCTTTAGAGGCCTAGCAGGGTTGGGATTATGCATTGGAAATGCCCCAGGGAATGAGCTGAGCAGTTAAGCTTCTAGGACTAAGGACATATTTTAAGAGAATGCTAGTTTGTGATGTTGCTTACATAAAAGCTGTGTGTTGAAATCAAAATGTTTTGCAGTTGCCAAGAAATTTGCAAGCGTATATGGGTTACTGCGCCTGAGTATGGGAGATGCCATACGGCTAGTATTGAACAAACAGCCAGAGAGTGAGTTGGCACTTACGTTAAAGGAGCATCTTCATAAAGGACTGACCGTACCTGATGAACTGGCTATCCAGACTCTAGATGTGGCTCTGATGAATCACGTGTGTCATACCACCGGGTAAAGTCTTGCTCAGGTTTTGCAGTTTTTTTCAAGACATGCCAGTCCCTTCATAGGCAGTGATTCTCATGTTAGCACTGTCAAACAATTGCACTAAAACACATCAGTGGTTTATGCATTAAGAAAATAATCCATGCAAAATGAGGTTCTTCACATTACTCTGGGACACCAGACTGAAGCATAGTTTTCTGCAATTTTCAGATAAATAGTAACATACCTTATGAAAGTTACCTTTTCTTCAGTCAATAAGCCAATATTTTCTATTATCCTTTGAGAACTACCACTTTATTTCTCTCATACCAACTCAGACATGTGATTATCTTGAGTCATGAAGACTGGATCAGTACTCAAGGTTTTTCTGGTTTTGTTAACAGCTGACGTTATTAAGGAGCTACCAGTGAGCTGCTCCACCACTGAAACATCTTCCAAACAGGGACACTTAAAAAAGCTCCATGTTCATGACTTCAACACTCCCCCAAAAGAATTTCTACAGGGAAAGGCAATTCTGGGATAATCTCTGAAAATTATTTGAGCTTGAGGTCGTAGAATCATAGATTCACAGAACGTTAGGGATTGGAAGGGATCTCTCAAGATCATCTAGTCAGTTGTACCAGTCCAACTCCCCTGCCAGAGCAGGATCACCTAGAGTAGATCACACAGGAACGCATCCAGGTGGGTTTTGAAAGTCTCCAGAGAAGGAGACTCCACACCCTCTCTGGGCAGCCAGTTCCAGTGCTCCGTCACACTCACAGTAAAGAAGTTTCTCCTCATGTTGAGGTGGAACTTCCTATGTTCTAACGTAAACCATTATTCCTTGTTCTATTGCTGGGCACCACTAAGAAAGAGATTGTCCCATTCACCTTGACACCCACTCCTCAGATATTTGTATACGTTAATAAGATCCCCTCTCAGCCGTCTCCTTTCAAGGCTAAACAGCCCCAGGTCTCTCAGTCTCTCTTCCTAGGAGAGATGTTCAAGTCCCTTGATCACCCTCGTAGCTCTCCATTGGACTCTCTCCAGTAGGCCCCTGTCTCTCTTAAATTGCGGAGCCCAAAACTGGACATAGTATTCCAGGTGTGGTCTCACCAGGGCAGAGTAGAGGGGAAGAAGAACTTTCCTAGATCAAAATTCTTTTAAATTTTCTTCCACATTAAATACTGGAATATCGTTTCAGCATATTTTGCCCCAGTATTGTCTAATATCTGAAAAGCATTTCTTCTTCAATATGATTTAAAAAACTCTTCAAGTACTGGACATTATTATAGTCTCCTCTCAATACATATGGAGATTTCCCATAGTTAAAATTATCTTTCTGAGTGACTGATAGGTCAGAAATTTGAAGTCTATCATTTTTATAAGTCAGACCCATCCACTTATATTCCTATACCCTTGTGTATTGTCTTTATTCCTTACTATTTCTTATTCTATCTATCTGATTTTAATTTTTTTTAAATGTGACTGCAAATTCTTAGGACTGAAGACTGTGTCTATCAAGAAAGGGTAGCGGTAACTACATGGCATGGCTATAAATTTTTGTCTCTACTGAGAACGTACTAGGAATACACATAGGCTTAATAGTTAATTAGAAACTGTCTTCTTAGGAAAGCTGCCTTTCTGTTTCTGTTTGTACGCAGAGTTGTGATTGATGGATATCCTGTAACAAGAAAACAAGTAACTCTCTTGGAATCATCTAGAATAATTCCAGTGAAAATCTTTGAATTAGAAATGGATGCAAAGGAAATATTCAGAAGAGCATTGCTGGATGAGGAAAGCACAAATAGGTAGTGATGCTTCCTGATAGCAATATTTTTATCCACATGATATTGTCATTTCTCTATTTATGTGCCTTAGTGCTGTACCCAGAGAGGCTGTATCTAAACTGGTGCATAACACAGCTGTCTCTCAACTCCACATATGAAAAGACATGGGTACCAGTCTCTCTACATCCACAGAATCATAGAATGGCTTAGGTTGGAAGGGACCTTAGAGATCATTGAATGCTTTGATTTCCACAAGACCAGACCAGAAACGGAGACATAAGGAATTTGTGGCATGCTCTGGCCAGATCCGCTGATTGCACAACTGTGGTCACAGATGTTCAATGCTGTGCAGCTACTGCTTAGTTTTATTTGTCTTAATGAAACCGTATATCAGAAATGTTATTAGTTCACTCTGCTGCTGAAGTTATTATTCATCAGTTCAATTATTATCATCATAAAGGAAATTGATACTTCATCTAATAAGTCCTCTTTTATGTTCTAATTGGAGATCTTTTTAAAAGATGGCAATAATGTATATTTTAATAATATATTAAATTCTTGAGCTACTCATCTAAACCTTTCAAATCAGCCTGCTCCATTCTTCTTTGTTTTTTTAAAGGAGATAAATATTCTGTTTAAAGAGCTGTTGGTTGTTCTTGAGGAAGAGCAGTAAGTAGTTTATAAATGGAGAGAGAATTAAAAAGAACAGAACATTCACCTTAAAATTAAATTGTGCAAGAACCTGGTTCTCATTAGAGGGAGTGTTTCTAAGAAGTTCCAGGTAGCTTAGAGCATTATTGCATGTCTCTTTCATTTTGTCTCTTTCTTTTTATCAAGTAAACAGTACAATGCTTAATTGTTTACTGAAAGCCTAAAGACAATTTGCAATGCAAAAAAAATAAATTGTCATTTGGAAAGTATTTACTTTAAACTTTCCATTTTAAATACCAAACCAATTACATTTCATAAGCTTAAATACAAATCAAATATTTCTGAAAAGTATGACATACAGAGAAATTAATCCTATTAAAACAGAAGTCTATTTTTTTTTGGCACCACTTAAATGAAGAACCAGAAGAGGAAATACTTTTATGCTCTAGTCAAAATATCTCTTCTGGTCTTGCATAATATTTTTAGAGGTCAGATTATTTTCATCTATATGTATGTGTACATATGGCAGACAGTTTTCAAATACTGCCAAGGATTATGGCTACTCTTCATTTCAAACCACAGCGTAATTCAAAATTAAGCCTATCTTTCAATAAGCAGTTGAATTCCATTTTAAAAGTCTCATAACATTTTGTCAAGGGTACCATTTAATGGTGTAGTGGTAGTGTGTGTCAGTTACTCCATGCTGCTACATTCCAAATCCTTTACAAAATTATTGAGTTGTATTTGGGGCATAAATAGCTAAAGTTTTGCTCTTTGTTTCTCAACACAGCTGTCTGATCAGAATTATGGTGCTTTTCATATATAACTGCTAATATTCTTACTAAAACTTGTATTTCTCAAGTATATTCTACAGTGTCAAATAACAAGAATTTTGTAAAATGGACTTAAAGGGTACTCTAGAATTTACACCTGAAATTCAATGAAATGATCTAATTGTCAGACTTAAACCAGTGTTATTTTTCCTTGTCTTCAGACCTCCCTACCCTCAACATGACAGCTCACAGATTCTAGCTATTAAAAATTCATGCTATAAACAGCACATTGATGCAATTAGGACTTACTATAAGAAGGAGCATCAGAACTGGTGTGTGATTGATGCCTGTCAGAGCAAGTGGTGGATCTGGAACAAAGTACTGCACGAAGTTCAAGTGGCTGTTAAAGAAATCCAGATATACCTGGAAAGAATAAAACAAGGTAAACAAAACCCTAAAGTTTCTCAGAATAATATTCATTTCTTTAAGAAGCTGCAATGCAATGAGTACATTTCAATTACAACTTCCTTTGGATTAAACTATTTCATGGGCGCATACTTCAATCTTCAATCTTCAATCTTCAATCTCATCTGCAAAGACAAAACCAACTACAGGACAGTCTGAGGCCATCCTCCAAAGAACAGGGTAACAGAATTCCGCTGAAAGAAGTCAGAGGTCTCATTGTCCATGGCAGATTCTTCAACACCGGGTGATAAATCACAAAGAGTACCCCAAAGTATACACGAGGAACTATGACTTGAAGCTTCACTTAATTGCCAGTAGAGGATGAGGGAAGGAGGGGGGAAATGTTAATTAAGTTCAGAATTAAGGCTATCTGAGTTAATTTCTGTGCTGTGGGAGGAAAGTGCTGGGGAAGTGTGGCTGGAAAGCTGTCTGGCAGAAAGGGACCTGAGGGTTCTAATCGACAAGCGGCTGAATATGAGCGCCAAGAAAGCCAAAGGCATCCTGGCTTGTATTAGAAATAGTGTGACTAGCAGGAGTAGAGAGGTGATTGTCCCCCTGTACTCGGCACTGGTGAGGCCACACCTGGAGTACTGTGTCCAGTTTGGGCACCTCAATACAAAAAAGATATCGAGGTGCTGGAGCAAGTGCAGAGGAGGGCAACGAAGCTGGTGAAGGGCCTGGAGAATAAATCTTATGAAGAACAATTGAAGGCGTTGGGGCTGTTTAGTGTGAAGAAGAGGAGGCTGAGGGGAGACCTCATCACTCTCTACAACTACCTGAAAGGATATTGCAGAGAAGTTGATGCTGATCTCTTCTCACAGGTAATTAGCAACAGAATAGGAGGGAATGGCTTCAAACTGCCACAGGGTAGGTTTAGACTGGACATTAGGAAATAATTTTTCACAGAAAGAGCAGTCAGACATTGGAATAGGCTGGCCCCGGAGGGGGTCGAGTCACAGTCTCTGAATGTGTTTAAAGGTGGTTGAGTCACCATCCCTGGATGTGTTTAAAGGTCGTTTACAGGTGGTGTTGGGGGTTATGGTTTAGGGATAATGGTTGGGCTTGATGCTCCCACGGTTCTTTTCCAACCTGAATGATTCTATGATTCTATGAAAACCATTTTAGTCTAAAATAACACATTTCCTACTTGAATTGTGGTGTGTCAGCATTGGTCAGGATTGAACATGCCTTTTAAACATGCCTGTAGAGTTTAATTAGAATTCTTCTGAAAGGCAAACACACTTCCTTATCTTTCATGCATCTTCTGGTTTTACCTTTTAAAGCTCTGTGGCTGCACCCTTTTTAAAAATCACAGTCATGAGCAAAAAAAAAAAAATACATTTTAACTTTTTCACATCAAGCCCCAAAAGCACAATGTTGAAATAGTTTGGATTTTACATGAGTTTATTCATTTTATTTCATCCAGATAAGACTGCAGGTTTTGCAAGACATTGATGAGTAAAGGGGAGACTTTCAGAAAACCTTGAACTCTTTTTCACTGGTGTAAAGAAATAAAATAATAGCTGAAATGCTCCTTAACAATACAAAGGAGTAATACAATAAATCATAAATAAGGCTGTCAGGGAAAACAGACTAGTAAATTTAGCATGCGGAGTATCCCACATCATTAATAACTATTACACTTCTTAACTGATAGAAAAGTGTCATTAATTGGTAAAATGGGTTGCAACTTCATTTTAATATCAATCTACAAAAATCACTATTTTAATTCTCATTATTTCATATCATTTTCACATGATGGATTATAGTAGCTTCTGAACTGTAACATTTCTGAATTGAAATGTGTGATGTCTCTATAGCTTATTAATAAAATATTAATTCCTTTTATTAACAGGAAAAGCAGCCAGCATTGCTGATTTATGTATCACTCCCAAGGAGTTGCAGGATCGGCTGGGGGAGTTTGGACAGTACTGTCCCGTCAGCCTCGCAGAAAAGGGAGAATTGGTTGACTGCTCTGTAACACCATCATTGCAGTTTGCTGCAGAATTTCGAGGACACTATTACAGAATGGCCTCACAGGAAGAACTGGATGTAAGTGTCAAAAAGCAGGTCAGGATGAGACTATGGGATGAGGGAACATTGGTCAGATTCTTTGAATCCGCAGAAAAACAAGCAATATGTGACCTGGCTCAGATTCATGTTGTTAGTATTCAAGCTTTTGTTCTGTACACTTCTGCTATCAAACGTTTAGGCAGACAAAAAGCAGCAGAGACCATTCAAACCAAAGCTCCTCCTACAAATTGTCAAAGATCAAACATTCATTTTAAAACAACCGTTTCCTCCTTTCTCCATCTGTTCTGGGAAGGCCGGAGGCAGAGAGTAGCTAGTGATAGCAATAGATAGCGATGGATGGTGGGTGGATAGGGATGACTTCAGCTGAGAGTAGGTTGGAAAACAAATTCCTTACCCAAGAGCAGCAGCAGTGCCAGCACACTATGAGAGGCGTTGCTGAAGAAACAAGCATCTTAATTGTGTGAGCCAGTCCTCCAGAGTTTGCCTAACAAGTCTTAGAGTATTTCTTTCATTATAAAAACATTTCTTTTTCTACAGAAATTCTTGAGCAGACCAGAGGTTTATGTGCCACCCCTGGCAACTCGCCCTCTCCCACCCCTAAACATGCTCCCAAAGAAACTGACTGTGGCAGAAGTGAAGGCCTTATTCCCTAATAGTGCTGAAATGCAGGGATACTGTCCAGTCACCTACCTAGATGGAAAACAGAGGTACGTCACTGCTGTTTTCAGAACTGGATTTAGAGACTGTACACCCCACATTAACACATTAATGAGGAAATACTTGAAAGCACTTTTTAATAGTGTTCAAGTTTTGGGCAGGAAAGGCAATTACAATTCTCTGGTTTGTGCCGGTGGCTTTGGAAATCAGTGTAAGTCACCTTTTGAAACTCACGTGGCTGCAGGTTCTACAAGCACCTGTGTTGGCTTTTGTGATGAAGACTGCTCAGATACAGGTTGAGTTTTCTCTATCATAAGCCTTTAAAAGTGCAAACAGATCTCAAAAAAACTTAGCAGGAGCAAAACTAGCTATAAAAATTGTTACATGAGATCCATAAAGCTCTATCATCAGGTCCCGCTGATTTTCTCAGCGTGCAGGAACTTCCCACAAAGGTAGAACTGTAACAGTTAATTCTATACTGTCCCTTCTTTATCTCCTAAATGATTGGCATTTTTACTAGAGGAGCTCTAAAGCAGCGCTCTAAAAGCCCCTTAATAAGCAGATTTAGAGACAGAGATTCTCTCAGCTTTTGAGCCTTCTAACTGTCAGTCATGTGGTGGAAACCTGGTGGAAACTGCTGCTTTTTTGTAATTCCTATATTTGCTAAATTACCAGGAAGCTCTCAGCAGCTCATGAATTTACTCTGCACAAATGGTGTTTTCCATTTTTTTGTGAATTAATAGTCTTTCTTGCTCCATCTCTTCAGATACGAAGCTTTGGTGCCTGGCAATATCGAGTATGCAGCAAAATATCAAGAGAAGGTATATATTTTTGAAAGTGAAGAAAAACTTCTCAAGTTTATGAGGTGAATATACTAAGTGCCTTTTAGTCTTTAATCATGCCAGAGTTTATACATATTAAAAGTGCTTACTTTTTACCTGGTTAGGTTACCCGAGAAGTACTGGAATCAGAAGCTTCCACGTAAACTCCCTCCAATAAAGGAGCCAATACTACTCACTGCACTTCCTTTGGCTGGATATCTTGAACAGGCTAGTTTTTGGTTTTCTATTTTAAAACAAGTTTTTGCAAGGTATAGTATACCTTACCCAGTTTATTTCATTTTTAATGCAATGAGTCTTATGTTTATTAATAGGACTGCATTTCTTTTCTATTCTGTTCTACTGTATTCTGTTCTACTAATTATAGTATTATAATTAGAAAATTATGTACTTACATTTGAGAGGCATTTGCTTAAATCTTTATAATAATAGGTATTTGAAGCTTTAAGGAAAAAAGATAATTAAGACCATTAGAAGGGAATAATAACTCGCAGTATTATATGAAGGATTTTTCTCCTATCTTGCAAGTTTACCTCTTCCTTTGATTTTTAACACCAGGATAGACACAAGCCTATCTGGAATCATTTAAGGATAGCTGGCTATATTTTGAGACATAAATATGAAATAAAAATGATTCACGGTCATTTCCCTCTCCATTTTATAGTACTTGTTATCTTCTACAATTCACCAACTTAGATATCATAGATTTGCCTGAAAACAGAATCAGGCTTTGATTATATTTTTGTTCCAGGTTCCTGTAAGGTCTTCTAAGACTGTTTTCTTTCTTTAGGGAGTAGCAACTTCTCTAATAAAAGCTCTGAATGAAGTAGGCTGCATAAAGCCAAAGTTCCCATTCCTAAGTGTAAAAAAAACTGCTCTGCTCTTTGTCGCCTGCCATCTAAAAGGTAGTGTATAAAATAAAATGCTTTATAGCATATTATGTTTCTAGTATATTATTAAATTTATATTACTATTAAACATTGCATTAAGTATATTATTAATATATTAAATATTGTGTTATTTATAACATTTAATTTATAAGTAATTAATTATATGAATTCAGTACCTCATCTGATACAACACTGATAAACAATCTGTGCAGTTTTCTTAGTCCAACTTAGGAAAATTCTATTATATACTGATTTAAACACACACTGTCAAATTTCATGGAAATGTGTAAAGGCCAGGAAAGAAAATACAATTAATAGGATAGGTAGATAGGTAAGTGATCTCTCTAAAATCATGAGACTTTAATGACATTTTATCACCAACAACCTGACAGCCTTCAAAACATTTCTAACATGCACTGTTGGAGGTTTTTAAACAGAAAGTGAAATGTTATAATCTAGGTGGAACTACATTTTAAATTGGTCACAGACAGCATGAATTTTCTTTAAAAATAACTAAATTAAATTAAAATTGACTAAAATTACTGTAATAAAAGCCTGCTGAAATATTATCTGAGGAACGGTCTAGGTCTCCGAATACTTGCCTTTTTTTCATCTGTATCAGGTGGTCACATAGAACTTATTAACAAACCTTGCCTTGCTGATAACCTGAAGACAACTTCCTGATCATTCACATCTCCAACAACACATCAGCTAAATATGCAAATGAGAGGTCTAATTGTATTGAAAAACAGCTTCACTGCATGGAGAACACCTGTCGTTCTCAAAAAAAACCCTTCTTTTGCATGGGCTCAGTACCAAAAGAACAGATATCCACGCAGATTTAATTCATAGAATCATAGAATGTAAGGGGTTGGAAGGGACCTCTAGAGATCGTCTAGTAATTAATGGGTTTTTTTAAGTTATTAGCACAGACAAATTAAATGTTATTTATCAGTTTGTTTATTTGTGAAATTATCTGGGAAGACCGGAATATTAATGTGATTCAGAGTGTCGGTATGTTATTTTTAACTTATTTTAACCTATTTTTTTATTTCATTGACCACCATTCTTTTCCATAACAAACATAAGCTAAAATTGAAATTAGGTGGTTGTATGCAGCCCACAAATTAATGATAAAGTAAAACATCTCATGGATCTCGAAAGGACTACTCCTTCACTGAGGAAAGCTGTTCAAGCTTTGTTTTCTGCATTCATTATCTGCTACTTTTAGAATGTTTGGTTGGTTGGATTTTTGCAGTTCGAGATAGCAGTTGCAGCTAATAATCTTTAATAGTTTGCAATCAGCTTAAAGAGTGCCAGCTTTAAGGATTTCAAAACCCTATTCTGCAGTTCTGCTGTATCTGATTGGGTTTCCAGGAATGCTGGAGATTTCTGGAGCAAGACTGTCACTTCTTCAAGCCCACCAGTTCTGCCTTCTATAAGCCAACCTGTTCAGTGGGCGACTCTTCCCCTGCCTTTTGGTATTTTTGATTTCTGCATATTCTTTCAGATGATGGCAATCTTTATTATTCAAGTTCTTCACATGCTGTGTTTCCTCATGCAGCTTCCAGAGCCTTCCAGAATTTTCTTGGACTATTACAGATCTTTGCTAGCACAGCTTTGTTCAGGAAGACCACTGAAGTGCAGGCACACGATAAGACTGTGTATAGATGTACAGTTCTTAAGCCAGCAAAACTGCTTTTATACTAGTTCGTTTCATCCACAAAGGCTGTTTTCATTCCACTGTAAGCACAGCTTTGCTAACACAACCATGTTCACACTAGAAATGCTCATATATTGCATCATTAAATCATTATTAGCACTGGATGGATGGTGAACTGGAAAGGTTATGCAAGTGTACAAATCCCTTCTCCTCATGCAGCAACAGTCTGACCATAGGAATTCAGAAAAACAAGATACGTTCTTCTCACACAGGGCAGAACCGTTTCCAACTTTAAGATATAACATTCCAGTATACTAAAATATCTCCTTGGCAAACACACCATTAGTTATTATACTGTGTCTCTTCAGAGTAGCCACGCCGTCCTTGATTAAAACTTGATCAAAGTACTTCATGTTCTGGTCCCTTGTGAAGTAAGACTTTCTCATCTTCAACTTAAATCACTCTCTAATCTCACATTTTAAAAAAGGACAAGAAACAATGGTTTAGTTGCTCCTGCCCCTTTTCTAACAATACTGGATTGCTCTCAGTATCTGAGAAGGTGCAGGCAATCAATCACAAATGCAGAGATTTTCTCCAAGAAAAAATGAATGGGGAAAAAAGTCACTAGTGTGACTTAGTGCCCTTCAAGCTTGACTGCTATACAGCTATGCTTGAAAAATCACTCAGAAGCTGTTAGATGCAGTCACCTATGATTTAAAGCTAGTGTGATGAAGTGTCTCACAGCATGCTGTCCAGTTTACCATCCACAGGAGAAAAAGAGTTATGAATTGGCTGTCTTATATCAGTGTAACTATTAAAATAATAAAGAACTCTCAGGATCAGCACTCAGTGCTAACGTAGGCCAAAATACGGCTGAGGGCAGAGGTAAGAAAGAAACAATATTGTCTTCATTGTAAAGTACTTGGCCTTGACATTTCCTTCCTCCCCCGAGCTATCAGTCCGTTCTGGGGCATTCAGGTCATAGAAAAGTTGTGCCAAGGCTGTGGCAGCCCAGCACCAG